TTTCTACAGTATATGCTCACCATGTCAATTTTGTTCATTTCTGCAGGGTCGTTTCAGCATTGGATACTGTGACTTTGACTTGAGACCTTGTCATGAAACAACAGTGGATGTCTTTCATGCTAAACACACAAAGAAAATGTGATCAGAAATGACTGCTTTTAATAAGTGTTTTCATAAGCATAAAAATGTAAGACTGAAAGGTGTTGCTTGAGTCCAGCTGGTTGCCCACAGAAGCAACTCTTCTAAGTATTTAGTGCAGCACAGCTTTTATAATCTATATGTTTTAGAATGTTTGTTTTCCAGTCTGAGAAGACAAAACTGCATGATTCCTTCATTGGACGTCTTCTGTAATCTTAATTACAATCCATGTCTAAATTTTATCTTGATTTCCTAACAGACCCTCAATAGTGTCTTTCAAAAGCCTCTTTACTGCCATTTGTATTTTTACTGTTGATTTCGTCTTGAGCCTGTTTTGGATTTTTTATCTTTAACTGACCACCTCAAAATCATTGGAAGCTGGGCTGCCACATGTCCTCTTTTATAAGCAGTCTTATTTATTTCCTTTAATTCCTGTATTCTAGTCATGACTACTATTTTGCCGGGTTTTTGTCAATCCTGTAATACTTTATTTCCCAGACTTTACTAGTAATCCCAATTTTCACATTCCATTTTCCAAGCTCTTTGCCTAGGAATGTGGTAGTGTTCAGTACACAGTCATTTTAGGGTTGTTTTATGTGTCTCTGTATAATGGATTTTGAACTGGGAAGGCTGCAAAGAGCTGTAATCTTCCTTGGCACTCCTGTGTGTTCTTTCATTCCATGGTACATGACCATATCCATCCTTTGCATTAAGTGTGGAAAGGATGTATGATCCTCTCCCAGTCCTACTCTGACTTTAAAGCCCAATGACTGGCTTTTCACACCACTCTCGACTTCAGTTAAGTATTTTGCTACTACTAAGGTAGTCCCCTAAAATGAATAAATGGAAATTTTGTCAGAAGTTGGGTACCCTGAGTATCTCAGTTGGTCAGAGTATGGTGTGCCAAGGTCATGTGTTTAATCCCTGTAAGGGCCATTCACTTAAGAGCTGGACTTGATCCTTGTGGATCCCTTGCAACTCAAAATATTCTGCAATTCTAAGCAATATGCCATTTAGAATAAAAACAAAGTCTTCCCTTGTCATTCCTGCAGCCTTTGGAAACCAGAAGGTATTACCAGAGGTACTGCTTTTTTTTTTTTTTTTTTTTTTTTTTTTAATATTAGACAAGAGTTTTTTGTTAGCAAGAATCTGCCTAAGTCATACAATCTGACATAAAAAACAGCAGTGGCCTCTTTTTCAGGTCCCATAAAAAATCTTTTCAGCCTCAGGACTGACACATGCCTTACACTTTGTGCCTTGTAATACAGTAGGCCTCTGTATTCTAGTAGCATATTTATTGTGAGAACTTTTTTTGTTTCCTGTATTTATTTTTCCTGATGGTTGTTGTATTCCATTATCTTTTTTTTCCCCCATAATGTACTTTATTTTCATCTTCTGTCATCTAATGAATGCTGCTATTTTTTTCCTCTTATTTCTAAATCTAAATAGATTTCTAACAAAAAATCTATTCCACAGCAATCAATAAGAAATGGAGCTGGTCTTTGCCTTGTTTTCTGGGTCACAATTTGCCAGTGGTCTGCATTCTTTATCCTTTCTCATAATAATGTTTCAGCTTTGCACTGTTGCATCAGCAAAATGAATAATATATGTGCCACAGAGCTGTGTGCTATTAGTCATTCCCCTAAACATTCCATAGGAGCTCCCTGGTTTGCTGCTGTGATAAAAAGTTTCTAGTCACTTGTGAATTTTATTCAGTTGTGTATAATATATGCCTATTTTTAATGGGAATAAAGGTTATTTTTTATTATTTGTAGCTTCAGTCATCTGTATGATTTCTTCAAAACATCAGGAAATTAAAGGAAGCTGTGTAATGCCTCATAGATCCAGTCATGTTCTGGAGGAGACTCACTGTAAATACAGTAATTTCCCAAATGTGAAGTTTTGTGTCTTTTCACCTAGTCCAGCAGTTTCAAACATAAGAGAATCACAGAATTAACTAGGCTGGAGAAGACCTTTGAAATCATCAAATCCAACTTATGACCTGGCATCAACTAGAGCATGGCATTGAGTGCCACATCCAGTCTTCTTAAACATCTCCAGGGACGGTGACTCCACCTCCCTGGGAGCCATTCCAATGCCCAATCACTCTTTCTGTGAACAATTATTTCCTCATGCCCAGCCTAAACTTCCCCTGGTGCTGCCTGAGGCTCTGTCGTCTTGCCCTGTCACTGGTTACCTGGGAGAAGAGCCCAAACCTCACCTGGCCACAGCCTTCTTTCAGGTATCTGTTCTGACCTAATCAAAACTGCATTACACTTTTTCTTCGACAACAGTGAAATACACCTTGAGCCTTTCTTTCATAATTTTACTATATATACAGGTATTATTTAACAATAAAACTGGCACTTCCAGTTCATTGCTGCTTTTTACGGGCAAATCTGCTAGGTGGTGACATAAGGATCCTCTTTCTCCTAGATCTGTATTTGCATTTCCAAGTGTTTAGCTTTAACACCAGTACCCAAGGCAGGAGGGACTCCCAGCTTTGTGCCAGGCACGAGAACAGAGGAGGCACATGTGGCCCCCCAGTTAGCCTCTTCTGTCCTCACCACATAAACCCCCACACTGAACTTCCTATCTTCCCCTGCTCTTGCACATGCATGGACAGAAGCCCTAACCCAGGCTGGACCTACAGTGATTCACTACCCAGCGGTGAGCTGAGCTCACTGCAGTGCTTGTACAGCAGAGGCACAGGGGCGCCAGCACTCTGCAAGAAAGGACTTTGAATCAGAAAGCAGGGAACATCCCTCTCCACACAGCTCAGGGGCTGTGACACAGCCTTTGGGCTACTGTCCACAAGGAGCAGGATGCAGGCTGGGGCATCCAGTGCAGCAGCACAACATCAGTTTTACACCTACCCCATTCCATCTGTGTCAGCCATTTCTCTGCTACAGGCCCAGTTTGGGACGTCCCCAGCATTTTCCCCGGTTCACGCAGCAATGATGTCTTGTCAGCAGTGGTTTCAATCCTACAGTTTGGGAACATCAGGTGCAGGCAGTGTGAAATTTAATTGTAATATTAAATAAAAGCACAAGATTGAACAGTTTGTTTTCTACAAGCTGACTTTTTCTCTTACTAGTGATTGTTTTAATTTTGTTTTCAATACATTAAATAAAAAAGCAGCAGAAGTTTAACTTACACTTTCAAAATACAAGTCACATTAATCTTATCATATTCTCACACAGTAGACTCCATCTGCTGTGCAACTCATCGTCTTGTGGACACACTCTTAGCAATGTTGTCACAAGCGTAGTGGTTTCGTTTGGGCAAAACTTACTGCCAGTAAGACTCTTGACCAGTTCACTGTACAGTCCTGGTGGCAGCCACTGCTCTGGCAGATCAATGTTACAGACTTCAATTCTTCCATGCTTTACATCCATATTTACTTTAACATCAAGAACAGAATCTTTATAGGCCATGTTAAGACATGTGCTAATGCTGAACTTTGGTGTCTTTCCGTACACCCATTCCCAGGTTTGTAATTCTTTAGTTTTTTCACTAATTCCAGGAAGCAGAGTCTCATCAGCTGGATTTATTAAGGTGATATGGTGATCTATCTGGTGTTGCACAGCATATTCTTTAGCAATGGCATCCAGGAGCATCTCAGAAGTTAAACTAGGATCCTCTTCAAAGAGATTTTTCACCAAGGCAGGCACGCTAGGAGTGGCATTGCTCTTTATCCCTTCAAAAGGACTTTTTAGCACAGAAGATAAAACACACTTATCTGCATTACAGAGTAAGGTACAGTGGTGATAAGCACTTGTCCTTCCCAGCTTTGCAGCAGTGCCTGAGATTTTGTATTGCCTGTCCAGCAAGATGTCATATCTGTCAGTGACATGTACATCTAACTGGGGTCGCAAGGCTTTCAGTGCCTTCACAATGAGCTTCAGGTTTTCCATTCGTTCATATTTTTTCCTGGTTGTGAAGAAAGTCAAATTGATATTACCTAAGTCGTGGTAAACTGTCCCTCCTCCACTTCTTCTCCTGGCTAGTTTTATATTTTTTTGCCTCAATAGCCTGAGGTTGCATTCCTGCCAGGGATTCTGATGTCTGCCTATTACCACGGCAGGGGAATTTCTCCAAAGGAAAAGGACCTGTTGCTTCTCTAAATCCATGTGGTCATGGATCCAATCTTCCACAGCTAGATTTTGGTAAACATCATTAGAAACAGACTGGATAATGAGGCCTCCACTGGCTGCGCTCCAGAAGCAAGCTTTTGGAGTCCTGAGGACACAGGACAGCCAAAGGCAGTTTTTAAATGGCTGGAGAACCATGTTTTTAATAACTGCACAGAAGATGGAAGGAATGCCTATTCTGATAACGCTGAATGCAGCAGGAGCACAGCCGGCTCCTGTGACAGAACAGAAATGCCAGTGGCGGGCGTGAGACACTCATGCTCTTCCCACAGCAGCACGCCAGTTCCCAGGCATGGTGCTCCTCCGGTGATGCCGCTCAGGCCCTGGCGGGAGCCTCAAGGGACATCCGGGGGTGTCACTGCAGCTGCTCCTCGCAGTCCCTGGTGCCTGAAAGACCAAAGGAAGAAACGGAATGTGTATTTTCCCCTCACTCAACGCAGCCTTGATAACTGGGTTTCACTTTGCGCAGTCCAGCTTTGTTAGGGTTTTCTGCCTTCTTTTCCATGGGGTTCCCGGCGCGGCGTCCCCTCAGCCCCCGACGCCGCGTCTCCGCCCGCAGAGCCCCGCCGGGCGCCCTGCGCTACTCACGGCGGGGAGCGGAGAGCTTCCAGCGCCCGTCCGTGCCCCCGTGGACTCCTTGGAACCGGCGGCATCGGGAGCGCCTTCCGCTTCCCGGGTGAGAGGTGCTGGGGGCGGGCTCTGCGCCTGCCGTGCGGCGCGGAGGGCCGGGGCCGGGGCCGGGGAGGGCCGGGGACGGCGGGCTGCGAGCGCGGCCTGGTGCTCGGTGGGCGCCGGGGTCCCGCCTGTCCCAGCGCTGCCACGGCACTGGGCGGGAGATGATGGAGCTGGGGAGAGCGGGAAGGACCAGGTCACAGGATCACAGAGCCGGTCGGGTTGGAAGGGACCACAGTGGGACATCTGGTCCTCCTGTTCAAGCAGGGTCATCCCAGAGCACATGACACAGGATTGTGTCCAGGCGGTTCTTGAATATCCCCAGTAAGGAAAACTCCACACCTTCTCTGGCCGACCTGTTCCACTGCCCGGTCACCTGCACAGTAAAGGCCTTCCTCATGTTCAGGTAGAATTTCCTGTGCATCAATTTCTGGCTGTTGCTTATCATCCTATTGTTTGGCACCTCCAAGAAGAGCCTGACTTCATCCTCATCACACCGTCGCTTAAGATACTTTTGGGCACTTCTCACAATATTTACAGGGCAACAAGAGGCCAGTGGACAATGCATAAAATGGATGATTTTTCTTGCAAGACCCAGATGTGCAGTTCCTCTCTGCAGGTTATTCTGGATGCTAGAAGCTTTTATGAGTTCACAAGGAGACAGAGTTAATGCAAATGCTGAGACTTGTGAAATACACTCTATGGTGCTCATGAAGATACAGAAGCTAAATGTCGGTACATTTCATTAACAAGCTGGAAATTGAAACAAGCTGTCGGTAATTCATTAACAAGCTGGAAAGTGATCAAAGGCTAGATGTATTGCTGGCAGCAGATTGTCTTCAGATTTGCATTTAAGCCATTCTTAAAGTCTAGCCAACCTTAGCTATAATTCTTCATCAAAAGCAATTGTCTGTGCTTAAGCTTACACCATGGGACAATGTTCAGTGCTAGCTGAAGTTTTTTATTCACAGTAGTATCCCTATGGGCAAACATGTGCTGTATTTCTCTTGTTCATGGATGTGTATTTCTAAAAGGTACATTGCATACCTTTGTCTTCCATTCTGCCTTAAAAGAACTGTGTGGGTGTAGTAGGGCAAGTAAGAAACCATCACAACATGTGAGCTGATGGTGATTAGTGAGAGAAACAGACTCTAAAACGAGCTTGATGTGATGTGTGTGCCAGCACCTTTAATGTTGCACTGTCACATTAAATAAAAAAAAAAGGGAATTTTTTTAGGCAATTTGAAATGGACATAACTTTTTGCTGAATTACACTGGTAATAATTTTTTACTGTGGTAAACTATTCTATAATGGTAAAAAAAGGTAAAAAGCATGTGGACTTTGTCCATAAAAATGTGCCGGTAAACTATTCTATAATGCACAGGTAAAAAAAGGTAAAAAGCATGTGGACTTTGTCCATAAAAATGTGCTGGAATTCAATGTTGAAGGCAGTTGAGAAAATGCAAACACAAACCTGTGCATTCTAGCACTGGTCAGAAGTATGGAAGTGTGTCTTGTGAGACAACTGATGTTACTAAAACCCAAAAAAAATGTAGGACCGCTTGTCTCCATTTTGGTGCTTGATTCTTGAATGTTTGCAGTGTGTCTTTTTGCCACGGGGTGTCCCTAAAAACCTACTGTGAGATGTTGCAGTCTGTGTTTTGCTAGTCAAAAACTGTTTTGGTAGTTAGAACCATTATTTGCTGAAAAACGTAGAGTGTGCAGAGTAGTAGGTGGACAGATAAAAATGTCATGGGTCTGTTTCTGATAAGCTGAAGGAGGAAATACACATGCAACAATAAATGCCTTCCTGTTGTTGAAGATAAATCCAGCAAGATAATTAGAAATATTCTGACAATGAGCAAAAAGTATGAATTTGTAAATGCACACCATTATTTATTTATCTCTTCTGGATTGGATGTTTAAAATTTTTTATGTCCCAACTACTGTTGTGTAAATCACATGCCCGTAAAATACACCAAATATTATTTTCACTTTTGAAAACAATCCTGTGTATGAATTTAATTTCTTTTTTGATCAACAAAGCATTGTTTGATATTAAAGCAATGCAACTGCTCTGCACAACATTAACCAGAATTAAGATATAAAAAATAACTTGCCATATGTCCCTTAGAGGATACCTTAGACATACCAGAACAAGACTATTTCACTCCTAAAATGAATTTTCATGAAGAATAATTTTGTTAAAGTTGTGAAAACATGAAATGCCCTTTACACATCTCTTTTGGAGATAGACATGACAATACAGAATCTCCACTTCCACCATGCCAAAATCTGAAAGTTAGATTTACAAGAAATCCAGGATGGGGAAAGGGAAAAGAAAAAGGCTTGTTTCTCTAGCTCTTTCTGGAAATTAAAATCTTCCAATTTCTTTTCTGGCTTTAGGTGGGGATTGTATTTCAGAGGTGTTACTCACTCCTAATGTCTGAAAATGTGAGCTGTATCCAGGAGTGCTTAATAGTGGCTGCTTGCCAAAAAACCCCGTTACTGACCCTGCACTGTCTCCAGAATATAAAACCTGTGCTAGTGGCTAGCAGGGAAGAGAGGACATTTTGTCTATTTCCTCTCCTTGACTTTGGGGCTACCTAAAGCAGCCTTTTACAAAGGCTGTTTATATCCTTGCCATGAGCAAGCAATAGGAGTCACAGGGTTCACATGACCTCCTTACCCTTTTTGCATCGCTTTCTTGGAAGGCACCCGTCTGCTTGTTCCTGTCTGTGCTGTTCCAAGAAGAAGATATGTGCAGCCAGAGGTACTGTAAATAAGAACTCCTATCTTGGGATATAAGGAAATATAAGAAGTAATTTATTTGAAATGATTTTGTTGGTGCAATAAAGAAAAGCTTAATTAGCCTCGTAATACTCTGATGTTTTAACTTCATGATGTTTGTAAACCGGTAATATATTAGTCCTGGCATTAAAAATCAGGAGTGAGTTCAGGCTGGAGTTTATCATATGTGTGAAGCTAATGTTTGACACTGTCAAGGAACAAGTATAGTGTAAAGAATAATATTTATTCTGGATGATACAACTGGCACATAGTCTTACAAATAGATACATAAATTAGATGAGTTTTGGAGAGAAGATAAGGTTTAATTAAGGAAGCTATTTTCACAAGATTAAGTCAGTCTTATCTAACACTTGCTTTGTTCTTGTCAGGCCTGAGAGATTGTGTGGCAATTGCTGGAGTCTTCATCTGTGAAAGTGTCTCCTTGGATATTAGTTTCTGGAAGAGATGAACCTAATTAGAGTAGAGGTGTTCAGCAGAGCTCCCCGAGTTCACTGTCACTCCCGCCTGATCAGCTGTGGCAGTTTCAGGATACCCATCTCTCTCCTGGGGCTGGACTGACAAGACTTGGCTGCTTGGCTTTGTCTCTGAAATCTTGTGACCTGTAAGCATTGCTCATGCTGCCTTTCTCTGCCTTTTGCTGAGGCTTTTGCATTAATCACAGGCAAGGCCTATGCTCCATGTGTGGGCCCAGGAGGTTTGGGTTAAAGGTGCTTTAAAGGAATTCTTTGAAAGAATTTCACTCAAAACAACAATGGATGGTGGTATTGCATGAGTCTGAGTGTGCCAATTTATGATCCATCCTCCTGTTTCCATCCCCAAATAACTGAGAAGAATGTAACTATTTTCTGAGGAAGTAATCTTTTTATCTGTCAAGGTATGGAGAAAGTGTTGTGTCACTAGAGGAGAAGCTTGGCTTAACTCCCTCCCCCAACAGAAAAGCTCTTCAAAAAGATATAGCAGCAACTGGTCATTCAGTATTCATTTGTACTTAAAATCAGAAATAAATATGCACACCTTTCCTTGACTTTAGTAAAGTTTATTGAGAAACTATGCTCTACATCATAAACCTGATAGAGAAAGTTGAATTTTCATAGATCAGAGTTATTCAAAAACCTCCCAAGATGAAACCAAGTAGAGAAATAATTAAAATTTCTATGAAAGCAGTGGTCATAAATATTTATATCAACATTAATAGGAAAAGGGGTTTACTGATAATTTTGTACAAGATTTACAATCCATCTTTTTAAAAATTATTTTTAGAAATATTTCTAACCTCTCATTTTGTTTTGCCAGAATTTCAGCCATATACACCTAACAGATACTATGATCATCTTGGAAAGCAAGAGTAAAGAAGATAAAAGTACAAGATGTCATGCTGACTAGAAAGCTATTTATGTAAGTTGTTGTGCCGGTACTGAGCCAGAAGTCAGTGTGTCCATCACAGCTGCTTGGCTTCTGTCTTACAGAACTGCCTCAAGGAAATAAGAGCCATAGAATAGTTTGTGTTGGAAGGGACCTTAAAGACCACCTAGTTCCAACTCCCCTTTCACGGACGGGGACACCTTCCACTAGACCAGGTTGCTCAGAGCTCCATCCAGCCTAATTTTGAATACCTCCAGATGTGGAGACTCCACAGCCTTTTTAGGTGATCTCTTCAGTGCCTCATCACCCCCCAAAGAAATTAATTCTTCTTGAAAGTAAACAATTCCTCCCTATTATCTAATTTAAACCTTCCCTCTTTGAGCTTAGGGTCATTCCCCCTTCCCCTATCACTACATTCCCTTGTGAAAAGTCCCTCTCCAGCCTTCTTGTAAGCTCCATTTAGGTACTGCAGTCTCCCTGGAGCCTTCACTTCAGCTGAGCAATCCCAGCTCTCTCAGCCTGATTTCATAGGAGAAGGGAGAGGGTTTCAGCCCTCTGATCGCCTTAGTGGCCCTCCTCTGGACTTACTCCAGCAGATCAGTGTCTTTGTTGAACTGGGGGCTCTGGAGCTGGATGCAGCACTCCCGGTGGGGTCTCATGAGGGCAGAGGAGAGCGGGAGCATCACCTCCTTCACCCTGCTGGGCATGCCTTTTTTGCTGCAGCCCAGGATGTGGTTGGTCTTCTGCTCTGCGAGGCCACATTGCCAGCTCATGTTGAATTTGTCCACCAGCACCCTGAAGTCCTTCTCCCCATGGCTGCTCTCCATCCATTCTCCTCCCAGCTTGTGTCCATGTCACTAACAGATGTTAAACAGCACCAGCCCAAAATCAACACCTGGTCTCCACCTGGACGTGGAGTCATTGGCCAGTTTGAGTGCAACCATCCATCTAATTCTTTATCCACAGAATAGTCCATCTGTGAAGTCCATGTCTCTCCTGATTAGAGACAAGGACGTTGTGCAGGACAGTGTCAAATGCCTTGCACAAGCCCAGGTAGATGATAGCAGTTGCTTTTTCCTCACCACTCTTAACTGCTGCTGTAACCCCCTTGCAGAAGGCCACCAAATTTGTCAGGCATGATTTGCCATGGTGAAATCATGTTGTCTGCCACTAATTACCCCTTATTTTCTGTGTGCCATAGGATAGTTTCCAGGGGGATCTGCTCCATGATCTTGACAGGTACCGAGGCAAAAGTTACTGGCCTGTATTTCCCTGGGTCTTCCATATTTCTTTTCAAATCAGTGGTGAAATGTGTCACAGCAGTGAATTCTTACCACTATATGGCAAGCGTAGTCTAAGTATATATTTTAGGATATATAAATATTCTCATGTTTTCCAAAAAGTGCTCTCACTATTTGCTAAAAGTATTATTGTGAGTGAGCAAATACTGTGTGTAAATCCTAAATTTGAGTCCTCAGTGTTCAGTAAGGTACTGAAGGTGCCAATTGCTTGATTGCTGTGATCTGTTCCCTTTCCTAGGACTAGGGAAATGCATATAACTGCACAACTTGGGAGTTCCTCTTTCAGAGAGAACAGTATATTTGGATGAGATTCACCTAATCTACATGATATGTCATCAGTGACATATATATATATATATATATATATATGAATGATTGTAATAGATATCGAGGCTATCTTTATCATCAGAGGTACTCCTAGGACATGATTAATTTTAGTGTGAATGCCAAAATCAATTGTAGGAATCACTTTCTAGAAATTACTCTTTGCAGTGACTCAAAATTACATTAATTTACTCTTAAACAAATGAGATTTGATGTGCAATTTTGAATTTCAGAATTGCAGTTTATCTTCAGAATCTGTTTTAGGCTCTTACGTGACTTTCTGGATTTCAACAATACTTACTTGCATATTATTTCCATTGCAAAAATTCACCTCTCATGGACCTTAAACAAACATGGTGGCCTATTTTCTATCATATTTAAAAATTCATTAAATATTCCAGTACAAATCTACCCTTAGTTTTGAACAGAGATATTTCAAGTTATTTAACATTTAGCTTTTGTGTCCCTTTCTTTCTTGTTGGATACATATTAGAAGGACATTCAGGCATATTTGCAATATAACAAAAAAGAAAAAATACAGACATTCAGAAGTTACTTTAAAGTATTATATGGATATTTATTTTAATTAGATATCTGCTTCATCTTCATTTTGAAGAGTGTATTTATCCATTTTACACTGAAGTATCAGTAATTACAAAAGTTTTATTTCAGTGCATGCATTCTCTCATTTATGCTAATGCAGGTTATGTTACAAAGAGGACATGAAATAAAGCAAGCGGATCACCTTCAAGGCTTGACACCTTTATTTAGTCACTGGAAAAGGACAGAGACTGCCATAAATGTGAGACTGAGAATTTGTTGAAGGTATTAAGAAACACATTCTCAAGTCCTCAGTAAATCTCTACTTGTGGCAGTATAAAAAAAAAATCATCCATCCACGTGAGTTTGGGAAGTCAATTTGGAAGAGGAGGAATATATATTTTTAGACTATATCTCATATTAAACTACTAAAGCTATAACTACCAGGAAGAACAGCTAGTTAATTGTAAACAGAAGGATGCATAAAATGGGAATGGGCCAATAATAGAAGTTTTCTAACCAGATATAATAAGAAAGTGTTTCAAGTTTTGTTTCTCTGCTTTAACACTATATCACCATATTTTTTAAGGGGGTGGTTGCTGATCCAGAAATCTTGCAAATATTGAAAGAATGTGAAGAACTTGAGTCAACATGGAAAATAAATGAATGTCATGGCAGAAATTCAGGGTAACTTCAAAGTTTTAACAGCTGAGAGAGAAAAAATTCTCAGTCTTTATGAACAGGTAATTTTATTTATATTTGTGTGATTAATTGAAATAGCAAGGTAATGTGCATGAAAAATATATTTTTTTGGCTTCATATGAAAGAAAAAAAGAAAGAATGCAAAGTATTTGTTTAAAAAATATTTTTTTAAAACTTATGGAAATTCTGTGATTTGAATCTGTCAGTTCAATACAAGTTTGTAAGTGCTGTCTTGAGTTAAAAATGCTTTCCTGAATCAAAGAATATGTGCACAAATGCTTACTTCATCTTCGATATTACGCAGTTTCTGGGATGATCTACTTTACCAGCCACAGGACCCAGTAATATATTGATTATCTATTCCATGTTTCTGTTATTCTACTGTTTTTAAAAACAGGCACAGGAGGAGATTTCCCAGCTCTGTCAGGAAGCTATAAAATGCCCCAGGACCCCTAAAAGCATCACTCCTGTGACAGCTCAAGCTGTATTAAGACACATGGAGATAGAAAGGAATACAGCACTGTCAGATTGCCAAAGGATGCCTACAGAACGGGGTGGCCTCAGGGAGCAGTTACAGGTTTGATTCTGTCCCACCCCACCTCAGCCCCACCCCACAGGTTATTTAAACTGGAAACTACCTAGCAGTGTAATTACAGTTGCTAAGAATTTCTCTTCTGGTCCTGAAGAAAAGAATTAATTGCTTTACAAGTCTGTGGTGAGTTGAGACTTGTTTTATGTGGGATTTTGTTGTTGCTGTTATTTGATACAGATTCCCCAAGAAGCTGCGTTTAATGAAAAGGCTCATTTGGAACAGAGAATTGAAGAGCTTTAAATGACTATTCACAATGTAAGGGAAAGTAATTGTTTATGGAATTGAAAATATAATACAGGTGATGCTCCTGGTTAATCCTGCAGCACCAGCCAGTCTGCTATCAGGAAACAACAGGCTGAGAGCAGTGCATGTTATTTACCAAGACTCTTTCCCCTCTACTCCGCTCTGGTAAGGTGCCACCTGGAGAACTGTGTTAGCTCTGGGGTCTCCAACATAATGATGACATGGACCTGTTGGAGTAAGTCCAGAGGAGGCCATGAAGATGACCAGAATGGGCTGGAGCACCTCTCCTACAGACTGAGATGGTGGTGAGGCCCTGGAAAAGGTTGCCCAGGGAAGTTGTGGATGCCCGATCCCTGAAAGTGTTCAAGACCAGTCTGGATGGAGCACTCAACAACCTGATGTGATGGAAGGTGTCCCTGTCCATTGCAGGGGGCATGGAACAAGATGCTATTTAAAGTCCCCTCCAACTAAAACCATTCTATGATCCTGTGATTTTAAGACTGTACCAAACTTTGACAGTGTTCCCTGCAATGATCTTATATCCAGGTGAGGATAGGCATGTTTCACCTGGAGTAGAAGTGGCTTAAGAGGGACATAAGTCCTACCTGCCAGTAGGTTTGATATCAAGGAGTCATTAACAGGCTTTTTACTGCCGTGCTTGGTGGAAAGACGAACAACAATGGGCATCCATTGAAGCCAGAAGGGTTCAGGCTGAATACAAGGCAATACTTGCTTCTCATGAGGGCAGTCGAGCAGTCCCCAGCCCTGGAGATTTTCAAGACTGGCCTGGACAAAGCCCTGAGCAGCCTGACCTCAGAGATGGCTCTGCTTTGAGCAGGCGTTTAGACTAGAGACCTGGAGTCCATTCAAATGTGAATTATCTTATGACTATGTATTACTAAGATCTGATGCTTCAAAGCTAAACGTAATTGCACTCTTTTAGCAAATAGTTTTTAATAT